TGGGTTTTCATATTACTAAAAGTCAGTGTAACAGTTCTGAATGACTTTTTGGTTACTTGGCTATCTGCTCTCAAGATTCTACTCTGACAACGAAGCCACCATTTAAAAATATTAAATAAAGTGAAATAATGATTGTTAAATTATTTACATGGTTTGTACATATATAGAACTTCAGTGCAATCTCGTGCATTTCTAGCCCTCCTCCTAAATGCACATCACCCCAGTGGCCACTGCCACTGCCAAGAAATTCAGCATGAAAAGAAATACAGATAGTGTAGATAAAGATTCTGAAGTGTAAATCAAAAAGGCAAGTTTTGTTCACAGTATTTAATAGTCCAAAGTAAATTTAGCTAAGATTCAAGAGGGATAAAGACCATGGTGACTACTCTGTTAAGACTGACTATTGGCAATGAGTTCAACAACATCTCACTCAAACACGCAACTTGAAACAGATAATTAACACCAAAAGAAGTTCAAATGTTTCATTCAAGGCATAAAGAGAACAATGTGGATTAAAATATCAAAAATTTCAAAGAGATATAAATATTGGATGCTTTTTAAAAAAGTTAACATGCAAAAGGAAATATAACAAAGACTGATGCAGTATATTCAGAACCCAAACAAACAAATCTAAATGCTGGCTGGGCTGAGACATCTGGAACTGACTTCCTCAAAAATCACTTTCACAGTTCAAACCATAGCTGGCATCAGCTTCTGAATATCTGACAAGAAAGAGTATCTCTTACAGTGAACAGCTGCCTGAACAGCTCATTTTTCTCAAAAACCAGAAACTCAGTGGAACATACATGTTATAAACAGGAATAGTTTGAATTCACAGAGCAATTGCCTGAATAGATGCTAATATTGAGGTAAGTAGGGAAGCTATATTTTAAAAAGATAAAGGATCCTGTCTGCAACTTTTTAAAGCCACTAGAGATATTGACAAGCAGAAAGGCATGGAGTGACAAGAAGTTAGCATCAGTGAGAAACTTTCCCCAACTCAATGCATCATGTGTATTTTACTACCTCTTTTAGAACTACATGCTTATTTTCTCAGACAGGATATTGGACAAGGCTATTATAATATCAATGAGTATGAAAGGAATTTTTTTTTTTGTCTAAAATCAGAAGGTCACTATTTTAGTAACTTAATAATAGAGTTTTTTTTTTATTGTTTTGACATTTTAACCTAAGGAGAAAAATTACAAGAAGAATATGGAGGTTCACTGATATGTATAATATATTCTCCTTACTTTCTAGGACCTTAACTTAATTCACTAAAAATCTGACTTTAAAGTTTATATTTTTAATAAAAATCTCTCCATATCATAGAATCAAGCCATAACAACTTGAATAATTTCAGGAAATATTGTAATTTTCACCTAATAGAAGATTGAAATGTATGTCAAAAACTTAGCAGAAAACTGATAATGCAGGCAGGGTCTATTTCAATGCTACTCTTATTCCTAACAAAATTCATTATAATTTTTTTGTATTTTTCCTTCTACTGAATCACTATTATTATGTGGACTAATATACCCTTGCCTTTTTCAGTACAAAGCAGAGATTTTATCTTTCAGAAGGCTCTTGTACTGTTTTTATTCATGGGCCTATCAATCAGAGAACTGCTCGAGATCATATTTTTCTTTGCTATGGACTGCACATCCTTGACACTAAAGCAAAATTCCAGTCCTTTTTCTCTGATTTATGCCAATGCTCCCATTGAAGAGAACTTAGATCCTACTGGAACAAAAGGAATGACTGAATGGTTCCTTCCTGGCTTGCACTGTTCTCACAGTGGTGTAGTTCATAAAACATAAATGAAGCTACTCCTGATTCAGAGAGGTATAAAACCAGTTAAGACTATTGGAAATAATTTATATTACTATGGATTAAAAAAAAAAGAACCAAAAAAAACCCCAAAAAAAACAAAAAAAAAAACCCAAAACAACAAAGAAAAAACACAACACAACAAAAAAACCCAACGCAAAACTTGGTTGAACTTCATTCTTACAAGAAAAAATATTACTTCAAGGATCATTAATAAGCTTTTCAAAGATGAAAATCTGGGGAAAAAAAGCCATCAGATTTTCTCCTGAAAATAACTTAACTTGTATTAAAAATGGCATCTTAAGACTTGAAACATTGATTCTAAATCTATTACATTTTAATCCCTAAATGTGCAAGTCAGGGTAGAAAATTTTGAAAATATTTTCTTTGCTGTTGTTGGTATTAATTATTACACTCCTCATTACACTGAGGAACTCTGTGTTTTACCAGACTGCAGAGATATACAAAAACAACAAATCCAAGACAAAAAAATTATTTATATTAAAAAATCCAAGGAATATAGAATTTAATTACCATCTTTCACCTTTAAAGAAAAGGTATCAACTAGGACACATGGCTACAATTTCAGATAAAAATGGAAAGTTCGGGGGTTTTCCTATCTAAAACCATTTTTAAACAAAAACCAAAACAAGGGTAGGGGTGAAAACTCAAAAGACCCCTTCAGATAATTGCAGACTGAGATGATCCTCTAGCAATAGCAATGTCTTTCTAAGGCTTGTGGGAAATTTACACATTCTGGGAACAAAAGATCAAAGTTCAACAGCTTAATGTCTATGTTGGCTACAAAAAACTAAAGAACAGAAGCCAAGGTTTCTTTCTTGGCAGATACAAAGGCTTTACTTGTCCTTCTGCCTTTCCTGTTTCTTAGAATATTAAATAATTTATAACAGTTCAATATCTTTGCTGGCACATATGAGTAACTTCGAATCCCTTCATCAAAACTTGACTGATGGAAGTGTCAGTTGCTACATTTTCTCAATTAACAGGTATAAATTGCAATGTAGTTCCATTTATGTTGCTGTCAGGGCAAATGTTGCCTCCTGTTTCAAATGAAACCAGAATGTGAATACTTTCTGCTAAAATTATAAGTCTTGCTATTATTTTACAAGGTTTCTCAGTAGTCAAGGGACATATGAGGAGACTCTTGATCCCACTGATGTCAACACCGATGTAAAAACCACTAGCACTTAAATGAAGTCAGCATTTTACCTTAATTTGAGGGGGATTCTAAATGTTATTTTGAGTATCATCTTCTTAAAAGTTCCATGCAATTTTTACTAAATATAAATATGGACATGTATTTCTCTAAAATTTGATCTAAACATAAAAATGTTTCTTAAAAATAGCCACTGAACCTGTTATTATGTAAAGGCAACAATTTATCTGACTGATACTACAAACAATCACGTGAACTCTCTCACATAAGTATTATACGTGCAAAATAACTTCAAATAAATAAACTATGTTTTAGTGTAAAGGACATATAAATGTATGATAGTATTAATAGTACTTAAGTTACCATTATTGCTTTAACAAAACTGCTGGACCTCATAATTTTCTTTTTCTTTATAATAGGGCTTAACTCAGAGATGCTAAGACAATTCAATATTGTACATACACCTATATATTATGTAGCATCATATATTAAAAATTGATACCCAAATACTAAATCAATTGAGAGGGTTTACCTAATATAAAAGATATTTCATTTTACAGTTTCTGGGAATGGGTGCAATTTAAAGTACAAATGACTAGTTTTCTGAAACTATTATTTGCTCCTGTAAAAAATTATTTAAAATATCAATTGGGTTTGAATTTTTCACAAATGGCAGATGAGAGATAAACAGCTGATAAAGTAAACAGGATGCAGAATGACTGTAGTGTTTTGAGTATTGACACTAAGGACAGAAGGTGTTACATAATAAAGCACAGTCACAAATGATGCTTTCTTTCTTATAATAAGTGAAATCTGATAGAAATGCTAAAGGCAAATTATTCAGCCATAAATGTCATGCAGTCACTCAGTGAAGATCTTAATTTGGCCTTGATAATATCTTATTCGTATTTACCTTTTACATTTTAAACTTAGGTCTTTGCTCTCCAATTTTGACATGATAATCATATTTTCCCTTGATACTCTTATTTCATTTATACACCTTCACGTCCTGCTCTAGGTACACAACATACATAATTTCTATGCCTAAGGAGCTGCAAGCAATGGTACATTTACTAACAAAATAATAAAACAAGAGTCCTGCATGCATCTGCAAAGTAAACGTTCACATTATTTCCATTTGCCAAAAACAATGGGCACTGAATATGAATCATATTTTACCCAGTGATTTATTTGTAGATGAGATTAAGGAAACTGCTGTTTTTCTAGGTTTCCTCTTCCTTGGTAAAACTACTCGGTCATTTTGTGGTCTTGGAGTATGTACTTCCCCCTTGCCCTTCTGTGTTCTCCCTGTCTAACTGGCATGGTGAATTGCTAAATATGGTGCAAAGCAGTACCCTTCGCATTCATGTAAAAACATAATCCTCTGTTTAATCCTTTTCCTCCCTGGCCACAATTTAAGGAATTCACAAATAAATCACTGATTTTATTTCAATGACATAGCAGAGGCAAATACAAAGTAGACTCTGGGTCTCCTCTACCCTACAAAACCAAACCCAGGTCACCTTTGCACTTAATCCAGTTAAATTATTCCCAGCACCAATTTCCCTGCTCCCCAAATTGATTACCACCAGCTGCTTGTGACAAGCATGCACGTCCCCTCCCTCAGCTCCCACCGAGCGCGGTTCCAGCCACCCCCTGCCATCTGGGTGACACCTGGTACCCAGCATCCATCTCTCCTTTACCCAGAACAACCCGAAATCCCAGGAAGATGCTCAGATAACATCCTCTTCCTCCTCTCACCCAGCTTCGCAGAGAACAGAAGAGTGATGGCACCATGGTTGGCCACAGAGACACGTGGAAGACATGGAGGAGAAGGTGGGGAAGAGGGGAGCCGGGGACATGGTGGGAAGAGAGGGGCGGGAGGAAGATCCACTCATACAGATGAAACTTCATGCAGGCCTGGCCTCCAACCCATCCCCTCCATAGAGCGATGGGGAGGGGGGCGATGGGGCGAGCTGAAATGGCCCCTTACCTTCACTGCAGTCCTTCCCTCGGAAGCCCGTTTGGGAGCAGTCGCAGACGGCCTGGTCGTTGAGCACCGAGCAGACGCCCCCGTTGAGGCAGACGTCGTCCCTGGCGCACAGCCGGCTCTGCTCGTCATCCAGCCGCACCTCCTGGCTCTCCACCGGCGACGCCTGCGTGTAGTTCACCCGCACGTCTGTTATCCAGCCCTTGAAGGGCTCCCGGTCCTTGACGGAGGAGAGCGTCAGCTTTAGTGTCGCCGACCGCAGCTCCGGCGGGAGCCCTCCTAGGAAGAGCCCGCTGAAGACAGTCATGTCCCGCCGTTTGGACTTCACCTCCACCCACTTGGCCTCGGCTCGGTCAATGATCAGCGTCGTGTTCTTGAAGTGGCGGCGGATGACAACAGCGTGCCAGAGGTTGTCGTTGACCGCCGTGTCCGAGAGCAAGGTGGCAGGCTCGGCACAGAAGATGGAGAAGCTGAGCTGTAGCCGCCCTCCCTGGGTGAGGATGAGCTCCAGGAAGTCACAGAAACCCTCGTCATCAAAGTAGAGCACCAGCCCGCTGGAGCTGCGTGTCTTCATGTTGAAGCTCATTTCGCTCTCGCAGCAGGCGTTCCACTTGGGGAAGCGGGTCCACTGGCCCTCCGCACCCGGGAACTCCAGCCCGCTGCCCAGCTCAGCCCAGCAGCCCAGCAGTAGGGCCAGCCAGAGCAGCAGGCAGCCCCCGCGCCGCACCAGCACCGCCCCCATCCTGCGCGGCCTGGGGCGGGTGAGCGGGGCGGCAGGGCTGGCGGGGGGCGGCACCGGGGCCCCGGCGGCAGACAGGGTAAAATCTTGCCGGGCGCCGGCCGCGCTGGAAGCTTTGGGCACGCTCACCCCCGCCCCGGGTGCGGGGGTCACTGTGGGAGACTCCCCGGGGCGGGGGGCTGCAGCTGCCCCACGAGATGGGGTTGGGCACAGGATGGTGCCAGAGGCCACCGGAGGGGATCTGCAGTGGGGGTAAGGCGCCGTTGGATCTCTTCACTGACCGGCCACGCTCTGCAAAAGGTGTCCAGGGGTGGGTGAGTCAGCAGAAATTTTCCCCAAAGCCAACATTACCAAACTGGGAAAAAAACCAAGATCAGTGGCAAAACTCTCCTCCAAGTGGATCCACCAGCTCGGCAAGGCTGTAGCAATATCCTGGCACATGCGCGCCTCTTTTTACATCCTCTCCACCAGCTGTAGTTTCCCAGGAAGCCAATTATGGATCCCAATGCTGCCTCCCTAGGATGGATCCTCTTGTCATATCACAGCCTGTCTGCCATGGTGCTGGAGCAGCGTCAGCAGAGGACAGGACTCATCGCTCGTGGTTGCTTGATCTGCCTCAATCCCAACGGGGTAGAAACCCAGAAGCTGTCAAACAGCCGAGTGGCCACTTGACATGCAAAGCCTGGCAGCTCCTCTTCTCTTTGCTTGAAAAAGGCCAAGGCTAAGATCCAGGGGGGTGATTTTCCTCTATTGTTTTTGTTTCTAATCTGCAAGGAATTGAAACAGAATAATAAGAAATGACAACTAATAACATGTTGAATCACAAAGTTGATCAATAGTGAATGTTTGTGATTATTTTTTTCATTTTGACTGGTGTTGGACATTAGGAAAATGCTGCTGTAATTTTCAAGTTACTGAGAAATTGTAATAGGTTGCAGCGCTAAACACAAAACTCAACATATATGTTTATACTAGATTACATTTTTATGGTATAATCTAAATGTAAACTACTTACCTTTCCAAAACTTTCAAATATTTCGGTGGTGCATTTTATTATTACAAGAACAATGTTAAACAGAAAAGATGTGTTTACTTTTCAATGTATTTTATTTTAATTTATTTTTGAAAACACCATCGCCTGTGAAGCTACAAGCTCCTAGTCATACAGATGATGCTACCAAGCCCAGTTCTGATTGTTTCTAATACAGGTCAAAAAAATAAAGTGGCCTGAGCTCCCAGCAGGAACTGACAACCTCCACTATGCATGACACACCTACTGGTTTATTTTTCCTGGGGAGAGGAAGAATTGCAATAGTTTCTTAGACAGCTTTTTGAATTTTTTTAATGCTTTTGAAAACATTTTTTTCTTCTACCTGGTTTCCTCTGGGGCTGATATATTCTGCTACGGCAGGGAAAATCCAATTCAAGCCAGCTCTGATGTTGACATTATTCACAATGCAGATCAGCTAATCCCAGGTGTTAGTCCTCTGAAATTGGTTGCAGTATTTTATGTATATTTACTCAGCTGCCCTTACTTAAGAGAACAAGGAGAGAACAACTCCTCTGTTTTCAAAATTATATATATGCCACAGTTCACCCTTATCCACTGAAGAGGTCTCTACATCCAAAACGTTTCAGCGGAGAGGCTGCTTTTCTCCCCCAGAGCTGCTGTATCTTTTCTGGAAGCTGTGTATTAGCAGACCTCTTCTGATGGAGGAGAGGATCTCCAACACCTCCTCACTCATCGCTTCCCCTTCCCTTCCCTTGCATTTCTTTGCCAGCAGCACTTAGGCGGGCACAATAGCATGGCCAGAGCTGCTGCCAAGCCCTCTTCTGGGCTGGGGTATGTGTTCGTGTGTGTGTGTGCATGCGTGTGTGGGGAGAGGGGGCAGAGATGACCCTGCCAGGGAGAAATGTTTTAAAAACAGGCACACACCTCAGCTGCCTGCACCTGACACGTTCAGAGCTGCTAAGTCACCTCCTACTCTCTCTATATTTAATTTCATTCCTCTAAATGTCAACACGATTATTTTTATTATTCGCCACACGTGAGGTGGGCAAGAGCAGCAAAAGGGAGAAAAACCCCCCCAAACTTCGCGGGCAGAGGCCAGGCGTCCCCACCAGCAGCAGGCAGACCCTCAGGTTTCCCCCACGCCCTCCTTGCCCCTCGGCAGGAGCCACCTCTGGCAACGCCGCGACCAGCCGAGGGATTTTCTGGCAGCTCCCGGGAGAACCCGCGGCGGAAGCCCCCGCAACCCCGGTCCCCAAAGGGCCCTCCGGGGCGCGGCGGTGGCCGCGGGCTGGGGCGCCGCTGGCTTGCGGCACGGCGCCGAGCGGCCGCTCCTGCTTCAGCACCCGGAACAGCTCCGCCCTGCGCGGCCCGACGGGGCGGCGGCGCCGCTGCCCGCGCCCGCCCGAGCCGGAGCGGCCCCGCCGCTGGCCCTGCGCCGCCGGGGGCTGCGCTCCAGGGGAAGCCGGGGGGCGCGCCCAGAGCGGGGAGGGGACGTGAGGGCGGCCGCGGGGCCCCGCTGCGGCGGAGCGGAAGGAGGAGGTGATGGAGCGGGTTTGGGTTGTGTGGGGGCGCGGGGAGCCGGGCGCTGGCTGGCGGTGTGAGACACGGCGTGCGTGCCCGGGGACAATGACACGGAGCGGGGGGGACTGTGTGTGAGGGGGGCGTGGGAGAAAGGGGAGGTTTGAAGAGACGGGGTGTGTGGGGAAGGGGCGCGGGCTCTGTGTGTGTGTGTGTGTTCACGGGGGTTACCGGGCAGCTGCTGGAGCTGGGCTGGCCCCCGGGGGAAGGGGCGGTGGGGAGGGAATGCGGGAGGAGCGGCGGGAAAGGGGAGGGGGGCGCAAGGTGCGCGGGGCGGGCGCCGCCGGTGCGGGAGGAGCGGGGCGAAGGAAGGGAAGGGGTTTGCGCCTCCGTGCGAGGGGCGCAGGAGCGGGAGGGTGCCAGGAGCCCGTGGTGTCTACCAGGGGTGGGAAAGAGGGTGGGGGGAGCCAGGCAAGGACGCGGTGTGAGTGTGAGTGTGTGCGAGCGTGTGCGCGGCCGCCGTGCGTGCCAGAGCGATCCCTACAGGTGTCCGCGGAGAGCCGCCGCGCGGGGATCCCACCTCGCGAGCATCCCTGCCCGCTGCCTGCCGCTGGCTGCAGCGCCTGCCTGCCCCCTCACTCACACACACACACACACAGCAGCAGCAGCGGCGAGAGGGTGAAGCTAAAGAAAAAAAGAAGGAGAAAAAAAAAAAAAAAAGAGGGAAAAAAAAAAAAAAAAAAAAGGAAAAACTAAAAAAAAGAGGGGGGGAAAAACTGAAAAAGAAGCAGCAGCGGCGAGAGGGTGAAGAGAAAGAAAAAAGAAGGAGAAAAAAAAAAAGAGGGAAAGAAAAAAATAATAAAAAAGGAAATACTAAAAGACAGAGAGGTGGAAAGACTGTAAAAGAAAGGAGAAAGACACAAGGAAAAAATAGCCCAGCAAACAATTACTTATTTATTACTGGCGGTATAATTTCACACATTGCCAATAAACAGCACAGTCTTGTCTAGTCATTTCCAAAAGCAGAGGGACACTTTCATTCTCGGAAGAGGACAATTTATTAATATAGATCTATCTATATATCTATCTATCTCAAATGGCTCTCAAGTACCAGGCATCCCTCCCAGCAATGTATCCATGAACACGCACATATGTAGCGAGAAATATGCACAAACCAATATAAATGTAGCTATTGCATTCGGAGCCTCGCCAGTGAATTCGTATGCTTCCCCCACCCCTTTACAACCATTTTTTATTCTTCAAAAATTATGATTTAGTCACAGGTGCCCCGATTGAGCCTTTTCAAATTAGAAAAAGAGAGAGAGAGAGAGACACCCATAGGTCAATAAATCCTTAATAAATGCCAGGTCGGTTGGCATGCACAATCCTTGGCAGAATCCTTATTGTATGAAATACAGAGCATTGTCTCTGGGTGCGGGGAAGACCAGAGTTCACAAATTACCGGATGAAATAAAAGGATCTGAAAAACAACCTTGCTGCAGCCAAAAGGAGAAGCGCTCTAATTCAAAAGCAGACTTAACAGCATCATTAATCTTTTCCTTTCATTTCTACGTAATTTCTAGAATCAAATTCTTTCCAAAGAGGCTGGAATGATCGATTTTGCTCCCCTTCCAGTCTGCAGATGTCTTTATTTTAATATGCTTATGATATAATTTCTACCCCTTCAAAAATGCACACCATCAGCAGGAACCTAAACAGTTTCAAACACATATCGAAGAAGCCGAGTGCCCTCTTTCTTCTGACACACAATAGAAAATGTCCCAAATTATCAATGCACTTCCCGCACAAGCCCCTCGTCTCTTTCAGACCGCCGCCGATAAATAACAACAATATTGCGATATCCCATCGCTGCCCCGGCTTCGCGTTTCGCCACGGCAGCTCACGCCAGGGAGAACATGCAGCAGATTGATTTTATCGCTCAAGTCTCGCAGACCCCCTCTCCCCTCCTCCCCCCGCCTTGGCAAGGGGGCAATAAATCACCGCATCCAACCTTTAACTTACACCTCCGCTCCACCATCTCCTCTCCTCGCCATCCACCTCTCCACAACGCCGCACGCAAACCCACCAGCCTCTCGCGCCGCCGCCACCACCGGCTCCGCCGCGGCGGAGCGCGGGGCTGGGGCTGCTCCTCCGCGGCGCCGCTCCGCCCGCGCTGCGGGCGCGCCTTACCTGCGCGGGGGCCGCCGGCACCGCCGCCGCGGCACCGGGACACGGCGGGGCACGGATGGAGGGATCGCGCGGGAGAGGCTGCGCCGGGCGGCACCGGGGAGAAGCGAGGCCGGGGGCGCGCACGCTGCTGCCGGCTGATGGCTGGGGAGGGTCGGAGGGGTGGCATGGGCAGAGGGAGAGGTGCTGCAACGCTGGTGCAACAAAGCGAGGGCCCGGAGGGAGCTGCCGGCTTCCCGAGCAAAGCTCTTCTTTCTTTGCGTGGGGTTTGGGGGATTCTTTTGTTGGTGGCTTGTATTCTTTTGTTGGTTGTTTTAGTTTAGAGAGGGTTGGTCGGTTGGTTGGTTGGGCTTTTTGTTGGTGTCTTGGTGGTACTACTACTAATTATCATCATCATCATCATCATCTTTATTATCGTTATCATTATGTCATCTTTTTTTACGCCCTGGAACTGAGATTTGCTGAATTCTGCACAGCCTGTGGGAAAATGGAGGTATAATCTCATGAGCAGAGCACACCCATGGATCAGGTCTACCACAACCACGGGAGAAATGCTTGAGAAAGCCATTTTCCAGCGTCGAACTGACTTTGTGTTGTCCCCAGATGATGGTGAACTGTTAGAGAAAGCCCAGGCTTCTCAAGACCTTTGAGTTTAGCAGCATGGGAAGCATTTGTTTGTGCCAAACATTTTCTCTATCTGTTGCCCTTCTAACTTAGTACCTGTGGCCTACAGAAAAGTGAAGAATTGATTGTAAGGGATTTTCACGAAGCCTTAGCCAAGGTCCTGGCCACTTTTGAACACATGGAGTAATGCTTGTCACACCAAGGGTCAGAAGAGCCCACTAAGGGGCATGACATAATTCTTTGAGAATGGTTGTGCAATTTTATTTTTTTTCATACCTGGGGTGTAAACATAGCAACTTAGTTTTGAACTGAAACTTCAGAAATCAGCATAAATAAAAAGCCCTTCTCCCATTTCACTCCCAGTGGAGTTAGCTTTATGATTTATT